AATATCAAAATGAATATTAACAAATGTAACAAATAAAATGAATATGAAAAAAAATATAATGAACGTAACTAATGACATGTAAAAAATGCAATTTCAAAATTAACTGATAAAAATCCTAAATTTTGATAAATAAGGAAAGTTATTGATAAACTTATTTTAAAATTATAAAAAAATTATTTTGAACTATTAAATAAATAAAACTTAAAAGTTACGAATTTTGAAAATGTTAGGCCAAAATTGGGTGTCAACATCTGTCCCTTTCGTTGGATATGATTGATGAAAGAAATCGTGGACAACGAAAATTGACAAATTCGATTTTTGCCGAACACATGATCTTTATATAAAAGTGTGGTTGGAATGTGGTGGAAGTCGATCCCGGACTTGCCTCCAAAAAGTTCCACGTTGTGTTACATCCTTGTTGAAATAGTCTGCACTTGTGGCTCAACTGAGAATGCATCCCCTTGGCTGTTCTCAAAAAAATAAAGATGAAACTCATTAGTAGAGACAAAATTACAGGAAAATAGATAGCATCTCTTACGATACGACAAATGAAGATGATCCATTGGTAGGATAAAAATGCATGTCCATCGATAGGACGAATGAAGATGATGATTCATCAGGATGATTTTGAATGTATGTCCATCGAAAGGATGAATGAAAAAAGATGATCCATCGGTAGGATTTTGAATGCATGTCCATCGGCAAGACGAATGAAAAAAGATGATCCATGACTTGAACGTGGAATAGATAGGGTGCACATCCTTTACCTCCGAATATATCTAACTTAAAATGCAAATATCTTTCAATGCAAGTGTCCTCCGACTTGAATGTGGAATAGATAGGGTCACGTCCTTCACCTCCGAATAAATGCGACTTAAATGCAAACATCTTTCAATGCAAGTTTCCACCGACTTGAACGTGAATAGATAAGGTGCACATCCTTCAGCTCTGTATAGATGCGACTTAAATGCAAATATCTTTCAACGCAAGTCTCCTCCGACTTGAATGTGGAATAGATAGGGTCACGTCCTTCACCTCCGAATAAATGCGACTTAAATGCAAACATCTTTCAACGCAAGTTTCCACCGACTTGAACATTGAATAGATAGGGTACATATCCTTCACTGCCGAATAGATGTGACTTAAATGCAAATATCTTTCAACGCAAGTCTCCAACGACTTGAACGCGGAATAGATACGGTGTACATCCTTCACCTCCGAATAGATGCGACTTAAATGCAAATATCTTTCAACTCAAGTTTCCTTCGACTTAAACGTGGAATAGATAAGGTGCACATCCTTCACCTCCAAATAGGTGCAACTTAAATGCAATGGCCTTTTCGGTGAATGAAAATGCAATGACCCTCTCGGGAAATGAAAAATGCAATGGTCCTCTCGGTAAAAAATAAAAAATAAAAAATGCAATGGCCTTCTCGGCAAATAAAAATACTATGAAAAATGCAAATGATGGATGACCCAATGATTTTCCACTGTAACAAGGTGGATGGCTCGATGATTGTCCAACTGTAACGATGTGTATGACTCAATGATTGTCTATTGTAACGAGATGGATGACTCAGTGATTGTCCAACTGTAACGAGGTGGATGACTTGATGATTGTCCAACTGTAATGTGGTGGATGACTCGGTGATTGTCCACTGTAACGAGGTGGATGGCTCGGTGATTTTCCAACTGTAACGAGGTGGATGACTCGATAATTTTCCAACTGTAACGAGGTGGATGACTCGATAATTTTCCAACTGTAACGAGGTGGATGACTCGATGATTGTCCAACTGTAACGAGGTGGATGGCTCGATGATTGTCAAACTATAACGAGGTGGATAGCTCAATGATTGTCCACTGTAACGAGGTGGATGACTCGATAATTTTCCAACTGTAACGAGGTGGATGACTCGATAATTTTCCAACTGTAACGAGGTGGATGACTCGATAATTTTCCAACTGTAACGAGGTGGATGACTCGATAATTTTCCAACTGTAACGAGGTGGATGACTCGATAATTTTCCAAATCACTTTCGCTAGCGACGTGATCAAGAAACTTTAAGGAAAGATTCACAAGAGAATGTGTACAAAGTGCCTGATCACCTTGACATAAGTTAGAAACCATCATTTTGTTCTTGAACACTTTGTGTTCATTGTGACCCATGTCATATTGGGGATTTGTACTAGGAGTTGTTGGCTCACCATGACAATGATGGAGATTTGCAAGTTGACTTTGAACTTCAAGCGATGATGGATCATTTGAAGTTGACTATCAAGCTTCTGATAGTACTTATTAGAATTTTTTAGGAAGACCTCAAAAAATTCTGTCCTAGTTAGAACTTTTGGCAAATCTCAAAATGATCTCCAATATTGATTTGCTGGAGACAACACCTTTATTGTGAATTTTTGAGATATTCTCAAAAATTCTGTCCTAGTTTTTATTACAAGATGAAAAGAAAATCACACTAGGTATATGACCGAGCCGTCGTGGCGCCTACATATCCTGTTGAGCTAGGAATCAAGTCAAATGTAGTTCCAATCATGTAGATGATGAATACTACAAAGAATCTTAGACAAGATCATCAGTAGAGAATGTACAATATGAACATGATGAAAATAAAAAATAAAAAAGATATTTCTTGCAATATTCATAGTCTTAAGACAAAAGATATGCCACATTTTTTGGACGAATGACCCAATGAAGTAAAATAGGCATACCACACTGACGAGATTAGCCTAATGTCACAATTTACAATGGACAACCCAAAAAAGAAAAATGCAAATTATTATTTTTAAAGGAAATGATCTAAAAAAATGTTTTGAAAAATATTAAAAGAGGGTGCTTGCCCTTTTTTTTTTTCTTTTTTTCTTTTTTTTCTTTTTTTGTGAAAAATAAAGAATGTGAAGCGACAGTCAAATCACAGACGGTACCAACAGTTAGGATTGCATGTAAAAAAAAAAATTCTTTTTTTTTTTAACTAAGATTGAATTCAAGGCAATAACTACAGCTTCAAGTGGTACCTCAAACATACTTAAGGATAAAAAAGATTTGTTCATCTTACTTCAAACAAAGGTTTTAAATTGTACAAATCCTCATGTTTCAAGTGCTCTCACAACAAGAAAAGTCATATTTCACACATATTTGAAGCGTTTTATTTTAGGACATTTTTCAAAGTGCACTCACACTCACAAGAATGTTCAGTGTATGCAACTGTGATATCATATGCTTGGCCCTTATGTAAATCTCCACTAATGTGAGAACATTTGGAATGAGATCATGTAGGGCTTGTTATTGGTTTGTAACGTAGGCTTAGGGATGGGTAGGATATATAATTGGGATAAGAGTGACTTAATTCTTTCTTGAGTGTCACAATGAATTTGTGCTTTTGATGATTGATACACCTTTGGTGTCTGATCCTCTTTATTGTCCCCCCTTTTTTCGACTTCTTTTGAATTCTCATTTGTTAGAGCTTTTCTATTTTCACCCCTTTATTTTGTTTCGATTTTTTTTTATTTCACCCACTTCAAGTACTTGAGATGTCTCATTTATTAAAATGCATTAATCTTTTGTCAGTAGCTAGGGTTATTCCTTTTCAATTAGAGTTATTGCCCTGATTTCCTTCAAAATCAACCTCTGAATCTTTCTCTATAATCTCCTATTGTATTTGTAGTTGTCCATCATCATTCATTGCAATAATTTGAGTATCACTCCTTCCTTTAACTCATTTGCTGTTATTTTTTGTTCTACTCTGTCATTCCATAAAAAAAAGTAAAGATGATGTAGTCCTTTTCTTCTCCTTATCATGCATGGTATTTTTTATTTCTGCTGTAACTTGATGCTTTTCTGTTTGACTAACCTGATTGTTATATCGTGTGGATGCTTTATCGTTTGGAGGCAAACTAGTGAGCTCGTCCTCCTGTACAACATCACCATGATGAACTTTCTTGCTAATGACCTGATATTGCGCCTTCCTTTTATCAACTTTATTTGCTTTGTCATATGTTATATTTATGCATTCATTATTTACATGCTTTTCCTACTTAGATGTCTTTATACTGTTGTTTTTCTGCTTCTTCATTATTATTATTAGCCTTGTGTTTTATCTGTCTCCCCTCCGATCTTTTCCAATCATTTCCACCCTAGATAGTGCATTAAATTTATTACCTACAACCACCCTTTCCCTTTGTTCATAACCTTGCTCGGACTAACCATCTGAGTATTTAATTTGTTGTATATCTCGCTTGCTAGTTGTTAGGATTACCCACCACCTTGCACTAAATAAAATTCTAGTCTTACCTGTTTGTATCCTTCTTACATGGTTTAGATTGTTCTGTCCTTCATCATTGGATACTATTTGCTCCTTTATTTTGTGACAATGAAGTTTTATAGGAAAAAGGTGACGAAAGGTGTGAAAGGTGTTAAAGGCTGAAGAAGCTGAAAAACGGTGGAAATTTTGATTTTTTTTTCAATAGGAAATCGTTGTAAAATTAAAAAAAGATGATTTTATTCGACATGAATGGTAAGATCAACGCGGTTGAGAGACATGTTAAGTTGGAGGAATATTTTATATTGGTAAAGTAATGAATAAAATGATATGACATAGTAATACATAAGCATGACCCTTAACTTGACGTCAACTGACAATTATGACATTTAACTTTGGGTGTGCACAAATAGACACTTAAATTTGTATAAAATTGAACAGAGACACATCGTCCTACATGACACCCTACATGACAAATTTATATCTTATATGATATCCAATGTGGCATCCTATGTTTATTATGTCATATAGAACACGTGTTACTTGTTCGATTTTATACAAATTTAAATGTCTACTTATGTACACATAAAGTTGGATGACATACTTATTTACTGAAGTCAAGTTAAATGTCATATTTATACATTAAATCAAATAATATAATTGACAATCCGAATAAGTAGAAGCATATAGGCCTCATCCAGACCCGACACCAACAAGAGCTCGGATGTGTCAATTATACGCTGTCGTAAGGTGGAGGATGAGCATCTCAGCCTTATAAGTAAACAGTTGCCTCCTTGTAGGGTTTTATATTCCATAACGCCTTCCCCAAATTATTCAGTCTTTCTCTCTCTAGGGTCTACAGTTGTTCTCTTCTCTGAGCGAAAATGGATCTAACAAAGAAACGCAAAGCTGATGAGAACGGCGGTGCTTATCCCGTATCCAACGAACTCGTCACAACTGCCGCCGCGCCGCCGGCACTTGCTGTTCTTTCTCCGGAAGACATCGACAAAATTCTTGAAACATTCACCAAAGACCAGTGCGTTTCAATTCTCCGTAACGCCGCCCTACGCTATGCTGATGTTCTCGAAGGTCTACGTGCTGTCGCTGACGCCGACGTATCTAACCGCAAGCTCTTCGTTCGTGGTCTTGGTTGGGAGACCACCACCGACAAACTCCGACAGGTTTTTTCTGAGTTTGGAGAACTCGATGAGGCTGTAGTTATAACTGATAAGGCGTCTTCCAGATCTAAAGGGTATGGTTTTGTAACTTTCAAGCACGTTGATGCTGCTATTCTTTCTTTAAAGGTGCCCAACAAGATAATTGATGGCCGTGTTACCGTCACACAGCTTGCTGCTGCGGGTAATTCTGGGAATTCTCAGTCTTCTGATGTTGCGCTTAGGAAGATCTATGTTGGTAATGTTCCATTTGAAATTTCGTCTGAGAAGCTTTTGAATCACTTTTCTATGTATGGAGAGATTGAAGAGGGGCCTTTGGGATTTGATAAACAAACTGGAAAAGCTAAAGGTTTTGCTTTTTTTGTCTACAAGACTGAGGACGGAGCTAGGGCATCTTTAGTTGATCCCGTGAAGACAGTAGAAGGACATCAGGTCTTGTGTAAATTGGCAACAGATAATAAGAAGGGGAAGCCCCAGAATATGGGGCATGGGGGTGCCCCTGGAATGAATGCTGGACCTGGAGGAATGCCTGGTGATGATAGGGTTGGATCCATGCCCGGTTCAAATTATGGTGTTCCTGTTAGCGGATTGGGTCCATATTCAGGGTTTTCAGGTGGGCCTGGTCCAGGAATGCAGCAGCCACCACCTCAGCCTGGCATGGTGGCACATCAGAATCCACATCTGAATTCAGCTATTGGCGGGCCTGGATATGGAAATCAAGGACCGGGATCCTTTACAGGTGGTGCTGGTGGATATGCTGGCGCTGGTGGATATGCTGGGGCTGGTGGGTATGGTGGTAGTTCTGGGGATTACAGTGGGTACAGGATGCCTCAAAGCTCTGCTGGAATGCCTAGTTCAGGAGGTTATCCAGATGGTGGTAATTATGGTTTACAGTCTTCTTATCCCTCACAGGTACCACAACCAGGAGCTGGGTCAAGGGTTCCACCAGGTGGGATGTACCAGGGCATGCCTCCATACTACTGAGGTAATCCTTTTGAGTTTGTTTACAGTTATACATGTCAACATATGATTCACTGAGTATTGTTTATGCATATATTTGTTGAGCAACTATCTGAGGTGTTTTGGTTTACAAACTTCTTTTTTCCTTGTTTGATATTGTGTAGTTTAAATGTTTCATTAGAGTGAACCCTCAGGGGTTGGCCTGCTGGCAATTGACTTGAGCCTTGGGGTTTGCTCCCTTTCAAGGTCTCAAGTTCGAAACCCACTGGGTGCAAACAATTTCTGAGGGCCATCGGACTGGGTAAAACCTGAATTAACCGTGGTGCACTTGCGGGAAACTCCTTGCCGAGGGCCTGTGCACCCCCGGGATTAGTCGGGGCTCAAAGAGACTCGGACACCCGGTGCAAATCAAAAAAAAAAAAGAAAGGTTGAAATGCAAATGTTAAGATTGAATAGTTCCCAAATACAGGAAGATATCAATCTCTTTGGACGGAATTAAAAGGAATGATTATCACATAATAAAACGTTTTTAAAAATAATAGTATGTTAAGAATCTCTTAATCAAAATGAAAACAGATATTACAGAGGAGATAGTTAGATGAAAGTACGGTACATTGGATAAACCAAAACAATTAACAATCTAGCAGTAGGATACTTTCAATTAATAATAGGAAAATTGGTGCACCCATGATACAATATGTTGAAGAGAAAACAATACTCTATGCTGTTAGAGTTTTATTAGTAGCATTGAGAGCATATTGCTTCATATTATATCAGTACTTTAATAGTTTTTGAAATTGGTAACATAATGGTATAATGGACTATCAGTACTTTAATAGTCCTCCAGTATAATGGTATTTCTGTTGTTGCTAATAGTAAAGGAGAAATAGTGAACATTGTTTCATTAGAGTGCTTGGCCTTCAGTTCGTGGACTAGTACTGTTTTTCTCTATGTTAATTTGGTGAGCTGATAGCGTCATACTTGTTCTTGAGTGAAGTATCCCAAAGGGGTCCGTATCTTGTATCAGTTTTTCATCTAGGATGGTGTTGGGTGGAAGATATAAAGGAATCTCTTGGATATTTTTCTGTGGCTCTCTGTAATTAATTACTTTTACTGTCCCAATTAATGTGAAATCACGACACCATTCTATTTGATAGCAATTGGGAAAAGCCATAAAGCTCAAGTCTTAAGAGAACATTGGAGACTATTGGTGAAGGGGTTAACTGTCTCTGTGAAATTAGTATGGAAATGGTTACCTGAGATTGCTTTCCTCTTGTCTATTTTCCTTTCTTCCACAGAGTGCACGACATGGGAGAGGATCTACTTGCACTAATCTAGTGCATGTTCTGTAGAGCCCCTTGTAGCTTATGCTGTTTAGTGTGGCTTATGTCCATCCCCTGTACTTTGGAAATGATTTGTATTACAAATTTATGCCCTCAACAAGTTTTATATGTTGGAATCTTGAATGATTGAATTGTACGTGGATATCTGTTCAGGTGTCTTGAGAGCTTCTTGGATGCAACGTGCTTTAAATGGTTGTGGTGATTTCCTGATTGCAGACTCTGAAATCTTTGGTTACATGGACTGCTGTACATCTGTTGCTGCTTCACCTATCTGCTCTTATGTGTGGCTGTTAGTTGATACTTGCTAGTATTAAGTTAGTATGTAGGTTCTTCAAAAATTGCTGTATCTTTTGATGAGCGTATTGAGGATTGATGTCAGTTTTGTTATCTTATATTTTACCCGTACTTCCTGTTTCTTATATGTTCCCTATCTGATGAATGTGACATTTTAGATCTTCTATCATATTATGTTCAGCCATTATTGGCTTAACTTCTTGTATGTGGATTACAAGGCATCTTTATGATGTTGTCAGATACTGCTGATTTGAAACAAATTATTCGATGCAAACAAAATTTTTGTATATTGTTTTAATTAGAGTTATGTTTTAAACTAAATAAAAGCAGTACTAGTGCTTAAATGAATAAATATCTGGAGTGTTGATGGGAAGATGGGAAAACACAAATGTGTGGTAGTAGGATCCAAATTTGCACTGTTTGTTTGCATTTCTAGCTGTCTCAATTGCTGGTGAAAAAACGGGCCTTTATTTTTTCTGTTGGTCACTGATTTGAACTAAATTATCTTGACACAATTGTATTATGTGTATTAATTTTTACAATTTTCTGTATATATGGTTTGTGAAGGCTGGAAACTCGCAAATGCTATGTCTTAGCAAGAACCAAAATCTATGCTGTCTGCCATTTTGCTTGCATTTTGTATACCTCTCAATAACCAGTGGTGTTTCTATCACATCTCAAAAGCAGAAAAGAAAATGAAAACTCTAGCTAGCTGTTCCTTTAACATCCATCATTTTGGAATTATTGGTACATATTCCCTAAAAGGCATACATCTCCTGATTTCTTTGTTTGCTTTTTGTTGACGGACTTGGGGAGGGAGATGGGTATGAGGCCAGTTGGTCAACAAACACATGATGCAAGTGGGGGTGGGGATGGTTTGTTTCAGCTGAATCATGTTTACCGCACTATCTGTTTCCAGGATTCGTAGATTTTGTAAGTTGAACCTAATATGATGTTTGTTTCTAGCTCTGTCCATGCTCCAACACATTGCTATTTGGCATAGTGATCTGTTTGACATGTGCTTTTGTCATTTTTTGTTCTCACCTTGTTTCTCAAGCGTATTGAAGCTGTTGCAGCTTATTGGTGATTCGTGTTCATAGATTTGGCTGTATTTGATGTCTTTTATTGCCTTAAATTTGTGTATGGACTATAAGAAAATGATTGCTTGTTGGAAATTAAGATTGATATCAATCCATGCTATGGTTTGTGATCTATTCTGCTTGGCGCAAGGCATAAAATTAGTCTATTGTGATTTCAACAGACTATTTAAACAAGTTCTTAGTTTCATTTTCATTGGTGATTGATAATTGTTACTGGAAATTGTATTAAGATTTAACTTGCCGCCAAAAGGATCATGGAACGCAAGTAGACAATAAATCAAGGATTATGGAACTTAAGTACTTTTACCAATTTGGATCTGAATGTGTAAAAACAAACTTCTCATCTGATTCCCCGTGCAAAAAGATTAGACTTTTTTTGAATTTAATTGTATATTTCTTTAGCCACCAAAGTTAGTTGCCATGAAAATCCTGAACAAGTCCTATATGTCATATTGCATGTTTTTTTTTTGTATCTTAGCCAACTTGAGTTCCTGAGCATCCTACAGGGTGTGGAATTGTATTTTCTCCATAACAAAATTCTTTTCCTTGTTTCCTGGTTGGTCTGTACTCTATTGCTGAGGGCTGATGATATGATGTGGTGTGGAGTGAAAGCTATATTGCTGAGGTGTGATGGCATGAACTGCGAATTTGGTGAAGATCAAGGTCCCAGTTGATCCGGAAATGCTCAAGGTTGGAGGGGAGACCTTGCACGGAGGCCTTAAAAGAAGAAATTTGTAATAGTTGTTTAGTTAGATAGATTGTTGTACGCTTTCAGTAATAAGAATAAAACATCAAAAAGTTAAATCTTTGTGAAATTCAGCTCAATGCATTCAGAAGTGCTGATTGGTTATTCCACTTGTATGGCACTAAAAAGAAATTAACGTTAAAGGCACAAAACAGTTTGCTGGCAGATTGTTATGTTTTTTGTGCTAATAAACTTCACATTGCAGTCAATCCGTTGGCAGTACCCATTTCTCCTAAATCGTTGATGTCTAAATTCAGGTCTGTGTTTGTAAAGTTACATTATTGTCTTCTTTGGTCAAATTATTGGAGAAGTATTTATTTTGTAAGTATTTTCTTATTGGTTAAAATGAATCGCTAAGGACCTAAATCGATGAAAATTCGCTAAGGACCTAAATCAATAAAAAATATCTTATTAATTTAGTATATTTAAAATTGAAAACCAATACAAATTGAATCGATTGATGCAAACCCTAGCCGGTAAGTTGTCATTATCGGGAAAGATCCAAGTTAATGACCATAGTTGAAACTATGGAGTGATCATCGACCCTTGCAATGTGATATCAATGTCTTTGAAAATTTGATACTCGATATCTGAGATTCAAATTCATCTCAACAAAAACATTATACTCTGAAAATGCAATGCTTGAATGTGTTTGAGAAAAGAACTCATTGATAAACAAGTGGACTAATAGCACCTTGTGTCTCACTGATGTCTCATAAGCTAATCGAAGGGTTAATTACATACAAGATTGTTTTTGGTACAATGGAATAAACTAAAGATATGACCGTCATTCATAATGTCAAAAGAATCGTATCGAGAAAGATGTTGAATGCTTATTCATAATTGAGGTTTAAAGTAATCAAAAGACTAGTGTTGAAGAATGATGTCAAGTCAAGTCTCTAATCTAGCTCGAGTCTTGAAGTTAATTGAGAAAGTATATCAAGAATTGACGTGTCTCTTTTTATGATTGCTATTGAGTATCGAGTCTAGTTATTGAGATATAGTTAAGGTTGTAATCAGTGGCGGAGCTAAGATTTTTGTGGAGGGGGTTTGACATATAAAGAAGTAAGCTGAAAAATGGAGCAAAATGGACAGGGGAAGAAAAATATTAACCTTAATTCGCTAAATTTAACTTGCCATGTCATGCCGCGTTTAGCATTTCTTCCTACTTTAACCCTATTTCATTGAGTGTTCTTTAAAAAAATGTGATTTTTCCCTTTTATTTTGTACCTAATGTTCTACTTTATTTTGAATTTAAAAAATAAAATAAATTAGTGTTCATTCGATCACATGTTACTTTGAAAATTGTTTAATATTCTTCAAAAATGTGTGGGGATTGAGTTACTAATATTATAATGCACATTAAAGGGATAAATAGATGGCATCGTCGATTTTTAATTCATTTATTCAATTTATAAGGTTTTTCATCTGTAAAAAAATGATGAATAAATCAAATAAATTTAGTTTACATCTCTCTAGAATAGAATTGAAAAAAATAAGAAAGAAATATCATGAATATTCATGCCTTTCAAATTTCTTCGTTCAATTAAATTTAATTTACCTTATCTTTAATATATATTTTTTCTATCTCAATTTCAAGTTTAAGAACAATTGATATTTTCTTAAAGAGTTCTTTTGAATTAGTATATATAAAGAGAGTTACGTAAAAACAAAAAAAAGAACAACAAAGATAAAAAAGAATAAAATACAAAAATGAAAATAATGCGCCTAATAAATTGAAAAAAAGAAATAGCATAAATAATAATAATAATAATAATAATAATAATATTAATAGTAATTATATAATAAAGCTCCAGCAAAAACAATAAGTATAACTTACATAAATCCCATAGTGTAAAGAGTAAATTACATCCTATCCCTACTCTTTTTCTAATTACAATAATCCCGTAAATTTTGTACCTTCCGGATACATAATTCATCATCCGGATACATAATTCATCATCCGGATACATTAATTCAACATCTAGATACATTAATTCTAATACAAGAAGGATCATTCTGTTGAGCTAAAAATGGAATAAAATATGAAAATCTAATTAAATCCCATAAATTACGCTTACATTTCTTCTTACTCTCAATCATACGATGGGAAATCCAGAACGAAGAAATTCAAAATTTCAAATTGCTCCCCCCTGTTTAGCGAAGAAACCTTTCAGATTTGATTCAAAAACTTTTGTCGAAATTTTGGGTTAGCGAGGTGAGTTATAAATGATACAAAAGTGATGGAATTGTTGTTAGACAAACGATTTCCTTTTGAATCTTCAAGTTCATCGAAGATCCTTTCAATTTTGATTCAAATTGTTTGGATTTGCTATGTATACCCTCTGTTTTTAAATTTTTGAATTTGTAACACCCCGTAGCCTTAAGAGGGAAGTTTAACATGTTTTAGACCTTCCAGGTGTCACCCTCGAGGCCACCCACGCCATATGGATGGACCCACACCCCATAGGTGGGCAGCATGGGTGGACACCAAGGGAATTCTGCCTAAGGCAGTGACCACGGGTAGGACCCACACCCCGTGGATGGGTCCACGCCTCGTGGTAGGGGTCCGTGGATCCAAGCCCTTGTTTCCAACCTGCAGAACCCAAACCATGGTTGACCAGCACGGACCATGGGTCCACCCACGACCCGTCAGCGTGGTCTCATGGTTGGGCCAAAATAAGGCAGTTTGGTGGTTAAGTTTAAGGGCTTGATGGTCTTTTTCGTTTTTAATTAGGATTAAGTGGTGTCGTTTTACCCTAATCTAGACCACATATATAAGTAATTTAGACCCCTAAACTAAGTCATTCAAGTCATTGTTTCTAAATCCCCAAAAGAATCCCAAAGTTCATCCTCTCAAATATTCTCTCTCTAGGAGGAGGAGGAAGAAGAAGAAGAAGAAGAAGAAGAAGAGGAGGAGGAGGAGGAGGAGGAGGAGGAGGAGGAGGAGGAGGAGGAGGAGGAGGAGGAGGAGGAGGAGGAGGAGGAGGAGGAGGAGGAGGAGGAGGAGGAGGAGGAGGAGGAGGAGGAGGAGGAGGAGGAGGAGGAGGAGGAGGAGGAGGAGGAGGAGGAGGAGGAGGAGGAGGAGGAGGAGGAGGAGGAGGAGGAGGAGGAGGAGGAGGAGGATCAAGCTAGGTCAAGTCAAGTCTCCATTGTTCAAGCTTGGTAGGCTTTGTAATCAAAGTATGATGCCTTATTCATTCATGGATTCCTTTCATCCATGAAGCCCCCATGTTTTCCTCAATTTAGAAGAAGAATTTTCCAAGTCAATCTAGGGTTTCTTCTAATGTTATGGGTTATGATCCAATAGAGTGGATTATGATTGTTTATGATTGTTTACGATAGAATTGCATGTTTTTAGTATGATTATACATGTATTCATGCTTAACCTATGATTCTAAAGTGAATTTGATATAGTTGAGTTTTATGCCATGAAAAGAGAAATTGAGGACTTAGATGTGATCTTCTAGGATTGATGAATTACATTATAGATTGCTTGAGATGGAAGCACATAGACATGAATTGCTTAAGAGTAAAGCTTATAGATATGAATTGACTAAGATAAAGTATGTATGATGAATTATGAATAGTAATTGAGATTAGGAATGTCTTGAGACTAAGACATGAATGATGAATAATTATTGTTAGGGCTTTTAGAATAAAGCTTATGTCTTGAATTATGACTAGTAAGGCTTGAGAGTAAAGCTAACATGATGAGTTAACACTAGTAAGGCTTGAGAAGGAAGCTATATGATGAGTATTGATTGTACATGATCTATATTATGAATGTATGAGATTATGCATGTTCTTATAGAATCTATGTAAAGGCTTTAAGAACACTTTGAGAGTGAAGTGTTAATGAATATAATAATGATGTTGTGTTGCTTGAAAGGACATTCTCATGAACACATAATGAACATGATGTGAAAGGTATTCTCACACAGTGAAGATTCTAAGGTTGAAAGGCTTTCTCACCTAATCGAATCTAAAATGTACATGTAGACATGAATGGTGAAAAGTTTTCTCACATAGAATGATTCTAGGTTGAAAGACTTGCTCACCTAAAATGAATCAAAGCATGTTTGAACTATGATAGCTTGAAATAGTGATACAATATCCCTTCATGAATAGCTTGACTTGGTAAGACAAGACCAAGCTTGGTATCTTGAGTTAAGAGTCCTCATAGATAGCCTTGGATTGAGCAATAGTACCCTTCCAATGGTTAGCTTGCGCTAAGCACAATAGAGTGCTTTGCATGGTAGCATGACTTGGTGAGGCCACACCATATCATTGGTAGCTTGGATTGAGCAATAGTACCCTTCCTTGAGTAGCTTGGACTTGCATAAGTAAGGTGCTTTCCACGGTTGCTTGGTTTAGCATAAGGTAGTGTTTTCCTTGGTAGCCTTGAATTGGTAAATTGTAACCATTCATGAGTCATGGTTTGTCTTGAACTAGTAAAGAGGTACTCTTCCATGGATAGTATGAATATGAGGGACTAATCCCTAATCAAGGTAGCATGTTTATGATGAAACAAGATTACTTCAAGGAAGTATAGTAAGTATATTTTGATATGACGTTTACTTGTATGATGTATGCTTAGCTTGAATTGTTGCTATAGTTGCCTTCCTTGATATGTTTGACTAAAGGTGAATGTTCCCTTGTCTATGAGAAATAAGCTAAGGATGAGATCAAAAGATGATGAATATGAATGATGGCCTAAAGTGGTTTACTTAGCATGAGTGAGATTTATGGGGTCTTATTCATGCATTGCACAAGTATGCCTTAAGGTTACTTATGAAGTGTTCCTCTTATGTTATGTTGATCTTGATGCATTGATTATGCCTATGACGATGTTATTGTCTCTTATGCTTATAGCGTATGCCGTATGTTGATGTCTCTTATGATTATGGTCTATGTCTTATGTTGACTAATTCCTACATTATGCTTATGTTGATGATTTATGCTAGCCATCATATTTAGTACATTATTGTACTAACGCATACTCTTACCTATATTCTTATCAAATGTAGGGCCCAATGATATTGACTTCTATCCTCGTGGCTAGGATCTTAGTAGAGCAAGTAGTGAAAACTTGGTGAGTCCTCATAGCATCGAGGGCTTGATCACCTTTCATTTTATGTCTTTCTTTTATGTTTAGA